TAGGCAGGGTTAAAAATGATTGCTCAGATGTTGCCCATTTGTAACATTGTGCAAATTGTGCACTGGATATCTACCATGGCTTGAGTTGGGATATATTTAAGCCTGTTGGTGCATACTTGGTATTTCATGGTAGGCTTAGTTCCTTTTGCAATGGAAATCTTTCTTGCAAACAAGACTGTGAATTGGCATTGCAAGAGTACTCTAACTGTACTAGATCTGCTCTCCAGCTGCCCCAAGCTGGCTTGAAAGGCATTAGTAGCAAAACAGATCTGTGGATACAGTGATGACTAGTGGGCAAGTAATTATTTATTATCAACAGTCATGCTGAGGAGTGTCTCTCACAGATTAGAGCCTTTTGTACTTAGAGCTTTGCAAACATGGATTTCTCTGCCCAAAAGAGGTTTGTGACCAAAGAACTGTCATGGTCTCTGGTAGCTTTAAATTTGAGATGTTGGTTGTTCTGCTGTTCTACAGCCACAGCACTAAGCTAGTGTTAGAGGAGAAGGGAAACCTTTGCTGTGCTTGCAGATCGGCTGTGTTCACTGCAGGTTTTGAGTCAGAACTCAGAAGAATTTTCAGGACCTGACAAAGACAGTTTGTCATACTGATGTTGCTAATCTGTTGGTTTTGAATTTGAGAGAGGTTTTATATGCCCTAACCAACAGGTTTTGAGCTTGTTTTGGTTTTCTATGTTTAATCTGTAAATCCATTAAAAGGAGAAAAGTTTGATCTGATTTTTGTTAGATGAACAGTCTGAAAAATGAAAGATCTGAGCTCAGTATGAAGACAAGGCCTTCTAGTGCTTAAGAAATATATAGGAATTAACATGAAGTGTGAAATGAGTTTCAGTATTTAGCAGAATGCTAAATTATTTTGTCTTCTGTTTGCATATTGCAAAATACTTCAAACACACCATTTCATCCTGAACTTGCAGTTTTAGTTCCAGTTGAAAGCCATGTGCGTGACACTAACACTGTGCATTTTTCAGTTCTGTCTGCAGGGGTTTCCTATTGCCACGTTGACAGATGCATGTAGCTTCCACTACTTTCATCATATATCTGAAGCAAATCTCTCATAGAGGTACCCAGGGCCTAATTAGAGTTGATGTCTTTCACTACGGCAGAGTTTTGCTGTGGGGATGGGCAGGAAGGGAAGTTTGGTTTTGCTTTTTAAGCCAGCTGGCAATTACTTTCTAAGACTTGTGTTAAAGCACCAGATATATTAAAAATTATTCATAAAAGCCACCTGCAAATAGTCTGCAGTCTCCCTTTTTTGTTTTCTTACCTTTGTATGCCAGTCATGGGTGTGTTTTTCTTAAAAGTGCTGCTCTTCTTCTCTTTATTCTCCTGGAAGAAGATGACATATTTTCTTTCCTCTATTCGTATTTGTGTCGTTTCTGTGGTTCATTAATAATGTCTGACATTTCCATTCCTTTTTGCAGTTTGAGTGTATTACTTGCTCTGGTTTATAGTATATTGTTATGTTGATTGCAAAGAAAACAAGGTGTTCCTTGTTTTCTAAGCAGAAGTTTCCATAAATACAGTCGTGTTTTTGAGTAAATGAGAGTTCAGAATTTTTCAGAAATTTCAGAATATTCAGAAATTTGCCACTTGTGGAAACTCATTTTATAGGACAGTTTTGCCAGACCTAAATGCAATGTGTAAATTTTCTCATGAAAATGGTTTACCATTGCATTTTAAAGTCCTTGTATTCATCAAATATATTTTTATATGTTGTTTTCCCAAAAACTCTATGGCAATTGCTGAGCTGAGGGTTAAAAGGGAAAGTTGTTTCTGGTAGATTGATGTTAGGAAGTCATACCACATTGTTCATTGCTCTTTTCTTTTGCCTCAGTGTCCTTAATCAAAATAGGCCTTTTCTCTTTCATGTTTCTGTGTTGTGAACTCCCCTTTGAATTCTCAGAATGAAAGATCTTACTAAGCATTACCATCATGCACACAACTACACGTGATGTGTTCTGCATTGTAAGTGTTACTGCTTGATGCTGAAAACACTGTCTTACTTCCTTTAGAATTCCCCATTATTCACATGCTTACCCAGCAAGTTTTTTTTCATTACTTCCCCTATCTGAATATTTCTGCTGTCCTTAATTTTTAAAGCAAGATATCTGTGCCAGATAGAAATTGGTTGAAAGTCAGTAAATTCAATCCAGAAAACCTGTCTAGTAAACGTAACTTCAGAACTGAATTAAATTCTTGCTTGTTCAAAAGAGAAACACTTGTGAAAGTTTGAGGAAAGTTTTCTCTGTGGGTTATTAACCGAAACGTAACTACTGAGGGCAGTACACCTTCTAGGTATGTTTAGAGAATCACTCAGGTGCTCTTAGTTCCTCCCATCCTCTGCTTTGTGATTCTGCAGGTGTGACTGCACAACTTGTGTATTGATTTTGGCAGAACCAATTTTGTAGAGTTTACGGTGTACAAGTTTTCTAATGTAGTGTTAGTTTGCTCTTGTTGATCTAATGTTATCAAATTCATTTTAGGCTGTTGATTTCTACCTTATTGTTGGCATGTGCCAACACTGTAACATATCCTGCTTAGAGATTAGTAATGCTGAAACAACAGCCTAATGAAAAGAGAGAGGTCCCTACACAGCAGGAGTAGGAACTTGCTAGTTCCTGTTGAAATGAACAGAAAACACAGGTTCAACAAGTTCTTCCTCTTCCCTGTGCAGAAGGAGCAGAGTTATCAATGAAGGGTACTGTACACAGGCTAAAGGGGAGCCTTGTTCTATTGAAGTCCAATGCATGTTATCCCCTTTCCTTGCTAATTGACAGTGTCAAGTAAATACTTCATGACATGAGGACAAATTTAATTCTTTCTGGTTCACGAGACAGCAGTCATAAGCCAAATCTATTTTGGACTTTATCTGTTATCTTTCCTTCTGTTTTCCCATTCTTCTTGTGTCTTACTCTTTAGGTCTAGCTTGGTATACTGAAAAGAGTATCCAATATGCTCTAGGGACTGTCTATCCTTTCAACTGCTGTAAACCAGCTCCACTTAGTTTTCATACACGTGCCTGCTACAGGTTTTTGGTGGTTGGGTTTTTTTATTCTTGCTGGTGCTGGATACACTGATAGGGGGAAAGAGAAAAGTTGAAATTTGTGACTATGTTCATGCCTGTCCATCAAATTAAAACCATAATAGGTTAAGTATTGCAGCGATGGTAAACTGTAGGTGACTGTTGGATTGGATTACACCTCTCTCCCTCTATGTGCAAGTGTAGGAAATGTGTATTGACAGACCCTTTGTAACTTAACTGTGCTAACAACTGGGAAAACCTAGTTTCTTTTGTAGCTTTGAGGGTTTTTAATGTTGTATTATATGACTAAAAGTTAACAAACATTGTTTCTGAACCCTTTTAGGCAACCTAACAAGGGTGATTATAAAGCTGGTGGCCAGGACAGAATGAAACACAAAATGGCGTAATCAGAAGTGTCAAAAAATTGTATGGGTGTTTTGCCTTTCTGTGGGCAGCATCTTGTAGGTCCAGATCAGCTTTCTTGCTCAGCTCTGCTACAGATGACTGAAATAGTATTTACATGTGTGGGTGGGTTACATGCTGGGGTAGGGAGAAGACCTTCAACATGTCATGGTTGGCAGGTTGGCATTGTGATTCTGTACTCAATCTGATTGTAATTCTTTTGTAGATTGTAATAACTATGCAAACAACAGTAGTGAAACTTGTTAACTGATGGATCGTATTTCTGGAATCACACTGGTGCTGCTAAAAGTGGAGCTGCAGGCAAGCTTGAGTAGCTCCACACTGTTTTTCCTCCCAGTCTTCTTCCTTTTTGACCTCCAGGAGACTATAAATAAAAAGAAACCTCTCTCACACATGACATGCTCTTGCCAGAAGAAGGGAAAGATCAAATTGTTATCTAAAACAAACTCCAGTGATGTGACAGCTGTTTGCTGTTTGCACTGACTGTGTGGCTTGGTGTTCGGAGATAAAGTGCAGTTTCTCCAGTTTCTGTTCCTGCCCTCTCTACTCAGCTGCTGGGGAGTGGGATTATCACACTGATCCTAAGTAGGAAAGACTGCAGTGATCCAGGTCCTCCCACTGTTCTTGATGCAGCTCACCAAATGGGCAGGAAAATTATATATCTCTTCTTTCCTTATAACATTCCAAAAGTTGTTGCTCAATCAGTAGAAGTTGTAGCAAATAACAGAGCTCTCAGTAACATAAACTCCTCAAGATAGTATGTGATTTATGATTTGAGAGGAATTAAAGATACTGATTATAGGGCAGCAGCCATGCTGTGGTGCTATAAATGCTGGGATCAAAAATGGGGTGCTTTGGGTCTTTCCTTATTTCCCAGTTGCCTTTCATTGATATATCTACAAGATTTCCAGAGTATTCTGAAGTCCTCAAATCTACTCAGCTTTGTTATGGGTAGAGTTAGATCACAGATTATAATACCCCATAGGGAGTTCAGGAAACTGCATGCAATGTTCACAAGAAGGATTTTTGGACTGACTCCTAAATTTAGCCTTGGAAGATGTAACTGACCCTGACATAACTTGTGCTGAGTAACCTCTTTAAAGCTGAAGTAATGTCTGTTCCTAAGACAGGCTGAAGCCATATCTCTGGGTTGTTTTTTTTTTTCTTTCTGGTGTCCTGCGTGTTGCTTGGTGTAGCTCTTTATATAGTGTGATTTATAGAGCAATTCTTTTAAACAAGCAAATAATTTCTTTCTATCACAGACCATAAAAACTAAATACTGTTTTGGGACTGTTACAAGAATAGGTACTACAGTCATGTAATTTGTAATGCTCCTTCATGCCATTTTGCACAGCAGTTAGGAGATATCCCTGAAATTGGAGGACCTTTAACTGTGTCACTATTGACATAATCTGCTAGAACTATTCACAAAGAGGCATTTCTTATAGTCTTTAAATGCTTTGTATTGTAAAAGACAGTCTTTGGACTCTGTAGGGACTTAATGTAAAGGATTATTAGTTTTGTTTCCTCTTTCCAGATGGAAATGTCAGAAGATGATAGTAACACAGAAGAATACCCTACTGAAATTCACGATTATCTCACAGCATTTGAAAAATCTCTTGGTTCTGTTGATGAGATGCTGAAGACAATGATGTCAGTTTCCAGGAGTGAGCTTCTGCAAAAGGTAAATAATTTTCCTTTTGAAACCTTTTCCTTAATACAAGAATACTCAGGAGCCTGAACTCAAATAAAAGGGTCTGTTAGGCCAGCCACTGAGAGTAACAAATAGGACACTTCCTACCCTTGATACATACTGTTTGAAATTCTTACATTTCTAAGATATCCAGATGGCCTTACATACTAAACAATGAAGCATATGCTCTTCCAAGCTGATAAGTGATGACCTTACCAGTGAGTCATGTAGGTAGATGACATTCCTGTCCTTCCTTAAAGTGGATGCTGAGTGCTCTTTCATAGTGGAGAGGTCATTCATGTTTGTCTGAGAGTTCTTCTCCACAAACTTAATGGAACTTGGTGTACCCAGTAGGATGTAAAGGTGAACTGACAGCAGTGAGAAGTGATCTGATTCTAGAAGTCTAGACTTGCAGAACCTGAGCTGTCTCCTTTAGCTATGTTGTAAGCTATGTTGTAAAATGTGGGTTTTTTTCAGGTGTCATAGTTTAACCCCAGGCAGCAGCCAAGCCCCACACAGCCCTTTGCTCATGCACCCACCGGAGGGGTGGGGGAAAGAATCAGAAGGGTGAAAGCTCAGAAACTCATGGATTGAGATGAAGCAGTTTAATAGGGAAAGCAAAAGCCATGCACACAAGCAAAGCAAAGCAAGAAATGAATTCACTGCTTCCCACAGGTAGGCAGGTGGTCAGCCATCTCCAGGAGAGCAGGGCTTCAGTGTGGATGGACAGCTGCTCAGGGCAGCACATGGAACAATCACTGCCCCCCTTTCCTCCTCCTCTTTCAGTTTTTAGATCTGAGCTGATGTCATATGGTATGGAATATTCCTTTGGTTAGTTTGGGTCAGCTGGCCTAGCTGTGTCCCCTCCCAGGACCTTGCCCACCCCCTGGATGGGGGTGGCTGGAGTGTTGAGGAACAGCACTGATGCTGTGCCAATCCTGCTCAGTGGCAGCAAAAACACTGGTGTGTTATCAACACCTTTCTAGCTACCAGGATAAAGCACAGCACTGTGAGCTCCTTCTCTGCTAGACCAAATAGATCAGGGCATAAAGGCAGAGCAAGGTACTGCCTGAAAACTTCATACAAACCTCTCTGTCTTTTAACATTTAAAGCCTTAACATGTAATTTCTTTCTGTAGGGCAAGAAAAAGCCTGCACATGAGGGAGCTTCTTTATCCTGTGAGGATTTCTTACACAAATAAATTATGAAGAAAACAGTCTTGACAACACAGATCTTTTGACAGTATCCATGTTAGAACTAGTGAGCTGTACAATGATGTTATCAGAGTTTCTGGAAATCCTGTAGGACTAAAATAATAAATTGACTTTGACAGTCAAGGGAAAAAACCCAACCTCATTACCTTTATTCTTCCTTTGCTTTACAGCTGTAGATTCCAGCTTGCATTGAACACGCTGTCTGTCATGTGTAGTGTTAGTGTTCATTGATTGTATATTCACATTAGAGCTTCTGCAACCTTAAGACTTTTTTTTTTTCTTTCCATTGATAATAAGTACTATTTTGAATTAAGTTTTTATGGATAAGTGGGGACTTATTTCTGACTTTGAATACGAGTCTAAGAGCTATATGCCAAGAGATTTTTATGCTTTTGGCTGTACAGGGCTGTGGCATTTAACATCAGACTGGTAAAACTACATGAATACTTGGAGAGGAGGATGGTTCTGTGATGCAATGGAAATAGGCACAGACATAGTCTCAGCAAACTCGTGATGCAAAAGTGTGCTCGTTCAGTGTGTATTGTTTTATTATTACATTCATAATTATAAAATGTGGATATTACTAAAGTCTGTGAACATCTTGCTTCAAAATGTGCAAATATGTTGGTCTTTTTCACTCTAGTTAGATCCTCTTGAGCAAGCAAAGCTGGATCTGGTTTCGGTGTACACACTGAATTCAATGTTTTGGGGTAAGTATGTGGTAGGAAGAAAAAGTGGTATTTATGATTGCCATTTGGACACCTTCTGGACAGCTGCAAACATCAAATAATCATATTTCATAATTAAAAACTTGCAGTAACCCTGAGGACCCAAATGACTCCCATCCATAGGATAAACAATGTTGAAACTCCCAAATCAAAACCCTGTATTTAGAAAAGCTGACTGTACATACAGGGGAATGTTTCTGGTTTTAGTCCCAATCTTTTCTGTCCTTGTAAGGACAGAAAGTTTAACCATGTTAGTTGTTGGGGGTTTTTTTAGATGCAGTATTTGATGATAATAGTTTATCAGTTGACTGTTAACTCCTGTTCTTATTAATGATTTTAAGTAGAAACTACAGTTTTCCTATGTGACTTCTTGATTGGGTCCTCAGTCATGACAACCTTCAATTTCAAAAAACCATTGTTTATTTTCTTGTAGTATACTTGGCTACGCAGGGAGTCAATCCAAAAGAACATCCAGTGAAACAGGAATTGGTAAGATTCTTACACTGCATGCTCTGCAATATCTTCCTTGCTCAGGACAGTTAGCTCATATAGAAGTTAAAAAATGTTTATATCTACATTTAAAACTGATATGTTGCCATAATAACATGCATATGCCACATGGTGTTATATAACTATTTATATGCCCTGCTGGGCTCTCTAAATTAAGAAAGTTATATTTTTAGTTCCAAACAGTACTGTTTAAAGTAAATTTGTAGGGTCTGCTGAAATTAGAAAAGAACAAGATGATGAATGATATCATCTTTTCTTTTTTTTTTTCCACCTTTGTTTGAGAACTGGATTCTGAACAGAGCAGCTTTTCCCTTGTATCTGTTAAATGGAAAAATGTTACATGTCTGATAATAATTTATAACTTCCAGTATGGCATTTTTTTCTTATAAATACTTGGAATCATGTTAATCTCTGAGGCTGCCTTTCCTTACTTTTGTATGGCTCTAAAAGTATAGTGTGGTTGATTTACTAGCGAAGACGGGAAAGAGCCCCCTGCCTCCCCCTTCCAGGTCCTCCATTAATTCATTTTCTCAGCAGTAAAGAATCCAGTTCAGCAACAAAGCTAAAAGCTTTTTTGGCACCCGTTGTATGTGTATTGTCCAGTAATTCTGCATTAGTGACATATTTACAACCTGTAATAAATCTTTTAGGTTTGTCTTTATATTCCATTTCGATGCATGACTACAGTATGGAAGGCTTGCCTATCTTGAAAATTGTGCTGACTTCAAAAATCAAATCATTTAGCCTGGAGAAAAAAAAAATAGAAATCAAAACTTCTTGCTACACATTTTAGTTCCTGTTTAAATGAAAATATTAAATCTGGGCAATCATAAAATACTTAGCTTAAATGTAGTCCTTGCATATGAATTGGAATGGAAGATAGGGCTGAAAAATGTGGAAAGCTAACCTGAATAACAGGAATACTTCTATTTTTAATTTTGTGAGGTTTTCAGTAGTCTAGACTGTATCATATTAAAAAAGGCATCAGTTAATATTTCATGAGCTTTCAGTCAGTTTCTTGTTCCTCCTATACTTTATAATGTCTGAATATTCTGTTAATTTAGTGATACTGAAAAATTTTATCTCTTCTGCTGCGGATACTTCACAACTGCCAGTCATTTTAACTCTGAAGAATGAATGAATTATCATAGCCTAGATTCTTAGCCATCTCTCTTTTCCTTTTACAAGTATCAAGGTGAATGACTGCACATTCCTTCCTTCCAAGAGCATTGTGATGTTCTTATTCATGTGGAAAGGGAATTAAAAAAGACTGTTCTGTCACAATTGTTTTGTTTTTAGAATTGCTCTCCTTGTGTACACTGAGGGATTCAAACTGTATTAATAAAACTCACATTCAAGCTATCAGAATTCATTTCTTTTGTCACGCTGACGTTTTTTCAGCTCCTTTTTCCCATGCTGATACATGTAGGTTTGCCATCTGTTCTCATTAGCCATCTCAGTCACCACAGAACCATTACAGTGTATCATGATTTCAGACCCTGCAAAGCCCTCCTCATTAAAGCTGTGTTTTTGATGCAGGCACAGTGGCCAGCGTTTTGACAGTTGCTTGTAATGATCACTGAAGAACTGAAAATCAGTTCTGTAGCGTTAGGTCTTGTAAGATTTCTTCTAGATTCAAAGAGATGGCAATGGCTGGGTGAGAAATTTGTGCATTACATATCAACGTTTATTTTAGCAGTCTCCATGAATGTGCTGTTAAGCCGCATTTATCATTCAGGTATCAGGCAGATCATTACATATATGTGTATGTGTATGTTACTGTTGTTTGTATTGCAGTAAGACCTAAAGGCCCTGGAGTTGAAGGCCATATTAGGCTAAATATGTAGACATGAAATCTGCCAACCAATCTGTTAAATACTTTACAGAGTTACTGTAAGTGTCCTCTCTATTCAATGAAGAGAAGTAGGCACTTAACAAAGGGGGATTCCCATCTTAGATGGGCTTAGTTACTCTCTCAAAATAATTTTCTTTATTGATTGTAGGAGTAGATGAGGATAAGTGAGATTGTTAAGCTGAGAGGGTATACTTTGCTGGGGCTGAGTCCAAGCCACGTTTTGTTTGGAAAAAAACCCAAATGACAATGGCAGGCTAAGATGGCAAGAAAGTATCCCTTTGCTTTATGGAATGGCAGTGGAAACAGGCTGGTTTTGTTATTTATGGTCATAAAAGGAACTTGTGGTACAGCTGGAAGTTTATCAGGCTGCCTTATTTATGTTCATTGATAAGCCCCCTAGACCATTTCATGATCTTAACCCCTAGAATTCTGTGTAGTTGTATGTGTGATGCTTGTAACATCTTTGATTTTGTGTAAGATACTTTTTGTCTTTGCTTGGACATGCTGATTTGTTACTTTTTTTTTTCAGACAATAGTTATGCAGTGTGATTCATCTATAAATATATCAAATATCTAAATTTTACCATCTTTATGTAGGCCAAACTGAGTTCAGTATTCTATTTTCTAACTTTGCTTGCAAGAACAGTTTCTATCTCACTATAAATTAGATGCAGAGTCTCTGTAGGACTTTGTGTTCCTGTGACAGTGGATGTCATGCAGATGGTATGGTAGGTACCTGTGATGGAAAATCTGCTAAAGGGGAAGTCTCGACTTTGCAAAGAACCTGATGTATTATTTAAATTCTGCTATATTCTGGGTATTATAGCTATAGAAATACAGAGCATTTTGGAGAGTTTCTATTCATTGATTCATTTTAGCAGCAATCTTGGGAGAATGGTTTCAAATAGACTTCTCTTTTTCATTCTTTTTCCCTAGGAGAGGATAAGAACATACATGAACAAGGTCAAAGAAATAGCAGACAAGAAAATGGCAGGCAAACTGGATAAAGGAGCCGCTTCTAGATTTGTAAGAAATGCACTCTGGGAACCAAATGAAAAAAATGAACAGACTTCCAAAAGTCCTGCTAAAGGAAAAAAGAGACAGAAGGACTAAATTTTTGTTTGCCCTTACATAAATTACAGACACCTGGAACTTGTTCTGTAATGTTTTGCATATTGCCTGCATCTCACTGAGGTGCTGTACAACAGATTAAGTTATACTTGAGAATTTTGCAGAATTGTGTTTTGTCCAGGACACCTTATCACTGAGGTGGTCACATTGAATCTGTGTCTAAAAGTGCCATTTGATGCACATTTGAGTAACATTTCATTATTCAAATGACCTGTAAAATGCTTGCTGGTAATAAATACTAGTGATGGCTTGCTTATAAGGCCTAAGTATTCATATTTTTTGTACTGCTGAATGATTTATTGACACTTTTCTAAATGTCCTTAATCTCCCGAGTATTAAAAAATTTCAAACAATGCTATGCAGTCTGTGGTGTTTATGAAAGAGCATTGTGTGAAATGCTGTATTTGTAGAGTTTTGTAAGGTTTATTCACTGTGCTAAACTGTTTCCTTTTCAGCTTCTGAACTTGAATGTGTGCCATATTCCCTTACTTCTGTTGCCTCTGAGAAAACTGAGCTTCAAGGGCCACAAGCAAACAGCCTGGATTCCACTCTAAGCCCCCATGTCTAGTCAATGGAAAAATTAGATATCCCCTAAGGGCAGTTTGTAGGGTCCAAAAAAAGGAGCAGGCAGAGTACAGCTATTAGGAAACAGCATATGCAGGAACTTTGTTGGAATTTTGGCTGCAGTGCTCGTCCCTTACTGCTGACACTGTGAGAGAAAGAAATGTACTATGAGGTGGTAGGAATGTGGTCATCCATCAGGGAAAGCATCCTCTGGTGCAATAAAAAAGTACTACTCTATTGCAAATAGTGTATTTTTCCTCAGAAATGTGAAGCTTAGTCATTCAGGGGAGTTGGTGTGTTTGTTAGCTGGGTTCAGTCTTGAATACACTGCGATGCAAAGCTCTGATCCAGAGCTATTTAACAATTAGCACTAACCTAATTACTTATGAAGGAAAACCAAACCGTTTAATTTACCAAAATGCAGTTTGGGTAGCAGTCCACAAAAGTGCTTGGGAAATGTTAGTATGAAAGACTAAATGATAAGAACAGAGGAATCCAGTATAACTCGAGTACAGTGAATGGTTCCTGTCTCACAGCTTTGTACTGTAGCAGGCAATGCAGTATGTGGACTAAACTGAATTAAGTGCTAAAATGAAGGTTCTTCTCTCATTAATTATATAAAAATATATATTTGAAAGTAAAAGTTCAATACATCGCCAAGTTGGTTAAACAAATTGCATGTCTCTAGAAAGTTTTTCAGTGACTGGTACGGATTTACACATTTTTGTTTATTATAAATTCTTTGAAAAAATAGCAATTCCTCAATCCAGCTAAGAAGAGAACTCGCTTGTATGTATGTTGATACAGGTACCTAACGTTGCTGTTCAAATCCACAGGACTGCTTGTGTGAGGATACATGTCAAAGCCCCTTAAACATTTGCCAGTTGAAAGCTAAAATGAGACTGCTTTATTTCTACAGGTCAATATCATGGTTATGCCAAATGAAAGAGCAGTTGGACTCAGGAGTCTTTTATTTGTGCAATTAAGGTTAAAAATGCCAAAGACCCAAAGTATGTTGTTGACTAAAGATTTGTGTAAAGCAGTTCTCTTGGTGTGCTCAGTAGGTTTGGACAGTGTTTATTTGGAAATCTGTGTCCTGTCTTGTGCCCCTTTCAACCTGATACCACCTTAGACTGTTACAAAAAGAGTTCTGGACTTGGTGTGAGTGTAGAGCTCTGCATGTGCAAACCATGATGTTCAAAACATTGATCTCAAATCCATTGATAAAAAAAAATAAAATGCCAGATATCCTTTGGACTAATGGGGAAGACAATAGGATAGAAGTGGTCTGAAGTGGCACAAACTAGTGCACTTTAATATAGAAATTTTCTGGGAGATAACGCCTTCTGCTTTGAGAGGAATTGTCTTGAGGAAATGAGTAGCTCAGCTTGTATTTACACACAGTGCTGTTAATTAAAAGGGGATTGAAGGATGTTTCCATTACGTGATTTTCCTCTTAAGCTTCAATTATAGCTTTTGTTTTAAAAGGATAATTTCTGAAAAGGATCATAATTCATTGTCCACTAAAGTACACAGGTTTCACTGGTAAATGTTTGAACAGGAATAATGCAAGGCTATTAGGTAAGACTTACTGAGGTAGAAGTCCATCTGGTATAATTAATTATATACAGGTATTTGACATTTGTAATAGGGCAGTTTAAATGGATATAACAAATGCAATTTTCTAAACTTCTTGTTAAAAGACTTGCACCTTTCAGTGTGGCTGTTCATAGACTGCAAAGACAAAGGAAACAACCCAGAGAAACACCCCACAAACTAAGAAGCATGTGCATGTTATTCGCTAACAGCTCTAGCAGGAAGGAGCTTGAAATCATACTCATAAATGCTAAGTGGTTTGTTAAATCTTTGTTAAAGATTTTGTTTTGATACAGACATTTAATGTGTAGCAATGTAGTGTGGGACTTTTCTTGCTTTCTGGTCTTTGCACCAAGGAAGTGATGAGGTTGGCAAGAGCATGTGAAGTTAGCAGCTGTGACTAGAATTGGATATGAGGTTGCATGGGGAATTTTTCAAGCTTACCAAAAAAAATGTTTCAGAAGAGAAATGAAAACACAACTCAAGATTTTAAATCCCACTGGTGTTAGTGGCAAATAACTATATAAAAATAGCAATCTGGCATTAACTGTCACAGTGTAAAGAGATTTTTACTGTAATAAAATGGACATCTTTGACGTGAGAAACTAGGGATTCTCCCAGCTGTGTAAAGTTTCTGCAGATCTATTCCTAGAAAACATCTCTCTGACAGAGAGTTTACTGTGGCTGTAAACAAAGGAGGAATTTTACTAGGACTTAAATTCCCAGCCTTATAAATGCTGGCCATGAATTGGGAAGTCAACACATCAATGGTGCTCATTTCTACTCCTTCAGTAATTTTATTACTGGTGAACTGCATCCTTAAGAGTGGATTTTTTTAAGTCATCCTTTTTTTTTTCCTTGGCTTTGAGCATCAATGCTAGCATGAAGCTTTGTCAGAAGGTATTGATGTAGCAGTTTCATTGAAAAGATCTCCTCCAACACATTTATATGGAATTACAAAAGCTAAACAAACAAAATTCTCTCAGTAGTAAGAATTTTCTTGAGTATAAGAGGGTAGACTTAAATTCAGTTTTTAACTGCAGGGCTGGGACCATTACAAATGTAAAGGGAAATCCTTGTTTTCATAGTAAATTACATACTTTACCCAGGAATTGATGAAGACCTGGTTCTGCAGCCCTAGAAGGAGAGACCTGAGTTACCTAGATCAAGGCTTCTATCAGCTGTTGGCTACAGAAAAGCTTTTGGGAATTGTGAATAGCAAACTTCAGTCTGTAACTGGAAACACAGGTGGAGTTATATTGGTGTAAGTGGAATCTGTGGCACAGCAATCCTGTTGACAAGATCTCATTGACTTTTTGTCTCAATTCATGCAGATTCTTCTCTACTGCAAGCAACTGCAAAAAACCCTTATAATACCTAGGAAAAACATTTCCTCTGTTTCACATCAATACAAAGTAAAATTAAACAGCTGGATGAGAATGGAATTTATTTCTTCCATCAGACGTGGCTGGCTAGTAATGTGTAGCTGCTTTAGAGAGTTACACTGTAAGGAAACTAAAGCAAACTGGTTTTGATGCAAATCAGAAGTTGAAAAACTGCTGCACAGTGGCATGTGAATCAGGATACAATTGGAGAAAAAACCATGAGGTTTCATGGAAATGTTCTGCTTCTCCAAAAGAGAAAGTCTGACAAACTTCAAGCCAAAGAAACTTTCCAGTTTAAAAGGGGCAAAATAATTGAAACTGATTGCATCCCAAATGTGGGCAGGTTATTCCTTTGTTGTAAACTGAGATGTGAAGATGCTGAAACAGGGCACTGTTAGTTTATATTCTTATTTATGTTTCTTGAACATTCACTTGCCAGTGATTTAAAAAAAAATAAAGTGTTAGGCTACAGCAATTATGAGGAAATAATACAGAAAGTAAATGATGCAATTTGTCATTTTAGAATCACACATGACATACTAGGAAAAAATGCGTTTAAGTTCTGCAGTATGATGGTGTAATTTTTCTTTTTTCCTAATTTGCTTTGAGTGATATTTCTTGCAGAAAGTTCAGAAAGTCCACATGGATGCTTTTGTTTTGCAATGCACTCTTAGCAACCTTAGTATTAGTGGTAGTTTGGGGTGTTTTGGGGTTTTTTCAATTTCTTCTTTTGAATATGATGCACTTGAAATATTTTACTGATAGAACTAGCAGTACCTTTTTGCTGACTTTTAACCTTCCCTGTAGATCTATGGAATACTTAGTGCTGGTGATCTAAGAAGCAGACCTTGAACTGCTCAGTTTTCATCAGCTCTACCAGAGGGAAAAGAGCAAAAGCTTGTTTTTACTACTAAGCTGAGTGAATATGCCGTGGAAATCTTGTAATGGCAAGATATCAATTTGTAAAGTGATATATTTCAGAGGGGATACTAAATTTGACTGTGAATAAAAAGCTTTATAAATGGAACGTTTAAGAGCCTATCTTTTACTTTTCAGCGTAGGGTTGCCTTGACATGTATCATTTCAATTTGGCAGCCCCAGCAAATGGATGGAAGCAATTCAGTATGATAATTCAGTATTGCCAAGAGGCTTCTTCTCAGTCTAGTGTGGACATGTTCCATGGACATATTTAAAGTCTATATTATGTGATAGAAAATGGATCTAATTCAGCTTTATATTGTTCCAGCTTTACATCAAGACACTCATGGTATCAAAGGTACCCAGACAGCACATCCAAAGAGTATATGGACATCAAAATAATTTTCAAGCTAAGTATCACCTCCAATTCATGGTGATATATATTGCATAGCAATAATCCAGAATAGGCAGAAAAGAAATAAAACTCAGCTGTGCTTGCAAATGTGCTCTTTTAAAGTAGTAATTCTAAGGGCAAATTCTTAGCTGCTGTTTACCAGCAGAGTCTGTTCAAGTAAATGAGCAGCTGCTGAGTTCTGCAAATGAAAAAGTTGTCCAGAAAAGTCTTTGATATTCTCTCATTCCATATGAATTTTCATGTTAATGAATATGTTGTAGCTTTTGTTTTCTAGAATTCATTGTCACTTGAGTGGGTTTTGCCTTCATCAGAACAAATTAGTCCTTGTTTAAAGTCACAAAGTTCCTGTCCCCATTATTAATACGTGAGAAGGAGAAATGCCTAGTAACAAACAA